TAGCACAAACTTCAAGTAACTGTTGCAATTTATTGTTGTTTTGTAGAGCCTTTGTAACTGATCTTAATATGTCCATTAACACACATTTGCTGATGGCAGAATCCCAAAAGTTATTTATATTTACTTAAAATGATGATAATAATTCACTCCTTTATCTTTTGTAAAAAGCAGATACCAAATTTATATATGTATATATATTCAAAATTTAAGGAAAAAATACAGCAATAACAGTTTATTTATAGCCTTATTTACAAAAATAAAACAATTTTTGAAGAATAATTCATCGGAGTTGCATCAAACAAAAGTAGACATTATGTTGTTAGGTCACACTTAACATAACAGGTTCTAAATTGTACTGCTTAGCAATTGTTCCACAGCTGATGGAATAAGTACCAAAAAATATCACTAAAGGATGTTTTGTGTTAAAAATTAAATACAGTTTCTACAAAAATATGATTTTACCAATATTAAGTAATATTCAGATAACAACAATTACCTATATAAAGAGCAAAAATTCTTCCAAGATAAAAGAAAAATATATAAAAATTAATATTCCCTCATCTTCAAAAGCCATCTTAAAATTCTATAACATGATAACATAATTCTGTTCACATGAATTTCCAATTCTTGTGCATAGCAAAAGACAGAAATTTTACTCTTATAGCATCTATTATCACTATCAGAATCACATTATCTGTAGTGATATTATATACAAACTAATATACTTTCAATGAAGTACAGGGTGTTTATAAAGTCCTGGACCCATTTTGTTTAATAACTCATAAAATAATGAAGATATAAACAAACTTATGGCATTTATTGATGGAATAACTTATATATTTTCCTTTTCAGGTTTGAATATCTTTACGTTTGTAAATATCATCTGCGTGAGTGGTTAATCTCAGATAATTTCATTTTACAGTCTAAATATCTGTACTTTTTTTAATATCGCCTGCTTATTAATTGCATTTTTCAAATAATGTGTACATATGGGGATCCGAAAACCTCCATGAATACCGTGAGGCACAAAGGGATTCCCCAAAGGTTAATGTGTGGTGTGGACTAATGCACGACGGAGTCATTGGGCCTTTCTTTTTTACAGAAAAGATGGTCTCATTAGGTGTTTACTTAGACATACTAGAAGAGCTTCAGCCACATGTCTTTTTGCAACAAGATGGTGCACCACCTCATTGGGGTACCATCGTTCGTAGTTCTTTGAATGACCATTTTACAAGAAGATGGATTGGGCGAGGAGGTCCAATTCCTTGGCCACCCAGATCACCTGATATAACGCCGCTGGACTTTTTCCTTTGGAGATTTTAAAGGACAACATTTACAGGAGGAGAGTGTCAAACATTGATGACCTAAAAGCCAGAATTACAACCGCAATAGACTCTGTGGATGGCGACATGCTTGCCGGTATATGGCGCGAAATTGAATATCGACTTGATATTCTCCATGCGACGAAGGGGGCACACATGGAAGTTCATTGACAAAGGTCATGAAACTTTTTAAGTCTATCTAACCATTTATGTTATTAATTTTAATCTGTCTTTATTATTTTATGAGTTATTAAACAGCAAAATGGGTCCGGGACTTTATAAACACCCTGTATTTAAATTACCTGGCTTCCCTTACATACCATTTTATGAGATGAATTTTAAAATATACTTATGATCAGTTCTAGTTTTGATTAAAACTGGGATCATGGAAACTTTTCTAATCATTTAAAAAATTAATTTTTAAGTAAATTTATATTTAAAACCAAATACAATTCACATTTCCCAGATAATGAATTGGATGTCCACAGTTGAAAATGAAGCAACCTAAATTAATTTCAAGTACATAGCTTTCTGTTTGAGAGTTGTTAAAATTTTTCAGAAAAGATTTATATTTAATGCATCATTAATTGCAACTTTTAATAAATGTCATTATGCATGATTAGACAACTAAAACAAGTTTATATTTACTTCCGCTCCTCCAAACAGAAAATTGTAAAGTCTGTCCTTTAGAGAAATTAAGGATTAGGATTTTGTTTGCTAATACAGTACAAAGTCCAAAATCAGGACTCGTCGGGCCTTTGGCAGTTCCGGATTTGGGATTTTTTCAGATTATAGATCATCAATTTAAATCTGGTAAAATGGCATGCAGAAATTATACAGTTAAAAATATGAAACCATAATTTATGAAATAAAGATCAATTATGATCTAAAGAGTATAAAATTTTTCCAAAAAAATATAGAAAGGCTTCATATTTATTTGTTTACTTTATTAAACATTTCTTTCAATGTAAGTTTTTAAGTTGCTTCATTTTTTCGTGCTAATACTTTCTCTTTAATTCTATAAACAGACATAATTTCTTGTTCAGTTACAAAGTTCCATTGTTCAAGTCCTGTAATTGCTGTGTCAAGAATACCTACTAACTCGTCAATAGAAATTTTTTCATTTTCAATAATCTCTCTGTCACTTTCTTCACTATCAGTAGCGGTATTTTCTGGATCTAGAACCATACTACAGATTTCGCCATCTGTTAATTGACTGATCATAGCATTGTCATCGCAATGAAAAACTTCTGTTATATCATCTTCATTTATTACCACTTCTCCACATTTCTTTACAAAATCCAATAACTGGAAAATTTCACCTTTAGTTTGCGATATCTGAAAACCTTCAAATTCACGGCTATCATCTTCATCATCCTCACCATGAAATATGGTAGCTGGCCATAAATTATGCCAAGCATTTTTTAACGTATCTGGAGACACATTCTCCCATGATCTTGCGATGCTCCACACAGCAGATTTTATGCTAAAAAATTTCAAAAATTCTTCAATAGTCTTGCCATTTTTCAAGAAATTTAACATAGATTTTAAAAATGCTACTTTATATTTGCATTTCAGTGTACGCACTATTCCGATCTCCATCGGCTGAATGACAGACGTGCAATTTGGAGGGAAAAATAATACGGATACATTATCTTTTACTAAAACTTTTAGTGAAGTATGAGCCGAACAGTTGTCTACAATCAGGACTATTTTTGAGTCATCAGGTAAACCAACCGAATTCAAATGTTGCCGAGCCTCAGGTATAAAATGATTTTCAAACCAATCATTCATTAACACTTGTGTCATCCATGCTCTTTTATTTGCGCGATATATAACAGGGGAAATCATTACTCCTTTAAATGCTCGAGGTCGTGCATGTTTTCCGATTACGAAAAGTTTGCATTTGTGCGTTCCTGCAGCATTTGCACATGCTAAAATTGTTAGTCTTGCTTTGGAATCTTTCGCACCAGTTGGAGCCTTTTCTGTAGAGGTTGCCAAGATATTTTGTGGTACATATTGCCAGAAAAGACCAGTTCATCAGCATTGTAAATTTGTTCTGGAGATAACTGTTCACTAGTAATGAGTTCAATGAATTCATCTGCAAATTGTTCAGCAGCTTCAGTATCAGTTGAAGCTTTTTCAGCAGAAAATTTTAATTGTTTTATACCATGGCGATTTTTAAATTTGGTTAACCAGCCTGTTGAATATGTGCACTCAGTGTTTAAGTTCATTTCTTCATGAAATATTTTGGCTTGAGCCATTAGCATTGGACCTGTTAATGGCACGCCCTCACTGCGGCACTGTCTGACCCAGTCAATCATCATTTTGTCATGATCGCCACTTTTAGCATAACGAACACTTTTTCTATTATTCATTGCAAGTGGGGCGTCAGAATGCACAAAAAATTCAAAAAGTTCCTTTTTCTTTTTCCTTATGTCATATAAAGTTGACTTTCCAATGCCATACTCCTCGCATAATTTTGAGACGGATATGCCTTTATCCATTTTTTGCAGCAATTCCACTTTTTGTTTAATGGACATTGAAACATGCTTTCGCTTTGTAGATCCTTTGGCAGCTCCAGAATTGGAAACTCTTTTCAACATAATCAAGCTTAATTTTCATAAAATTGCTCTAATGATAACAGTTTGCAAAAATACTAAGCTGGATCAAATTAGAAGATTAAGGAGCAGCACAGTCTGCTGCATTAACTGAAATGCTTAAGAATTAATAAAGATAATTTTAGCCTAGCTTAATAATGTCTGTTATACATAATTGGCTGTGTATCACAAGATTGGCAACGAAAGCCAAGTTGTTCCGCTAAATTTTATCTTGCTCCTATTGTGTACTGAATTAAGCCTGAATTGTATCAGTTATTTACTATACCTACGTTTATTTCTTGTATATGCTTAAAACTAATCTGAGTCCTGAATAAATAAGCTTCCACGTATACTTAAGGCTTTATCTAGGGCCGGTGTTAGATACTACCCAGTGCAGTCTCTGCCAGTCCTAAATTCTGCTACAAAGGCCTTTCCTAAGTTCTAAATTTTCAGCGTGCCTAAACTTTAGATCCCGATGCTTTCCCTAAATTATAAAAACTTCTTATCCTTTAATTTTGTCACTCGGTGCTTCCCCAAATTCCAAAAATTTCGTCTTTCCCAAAATCTGCCGCCGCTTCTGGGTTTATGGTGAATAACAAATCAGTTATTCTGAATTAAAATAGCACTAAATGTAATTCTTGGCTGATGAGTTTCATTAACAAAATCTATTTTTAACATATGAAAAGAAATTTTTGTTGAATTTCTCCTCACAAACATTTCTTAGAGCATTTAAAAATCTATAAACATTGCCAAGCGTAATGTTAGCATGAAAGGTTGCCATACTCTTGTTATTCAGTTACTAATATAAAAAGAAAGTTTAGACATACTGCATGAGTTATTACTGAAGCTGTCATGTATTGTTAAACATGCGGTGATGAAAGCAAAATATAATAAATAATGACTCGCCAGGTCGGCGTCAGGGATATAAAATAGTGAATGTTTTGGTTTGAGATGTATGCCAAGCAGATACTCAGCTATGGAGCCAAATTATTGATCTCACAAATTTATGCTTACGTGATTGTTTTTTCATAAGGAGGTATTTAGTGCCTAAGTGCAATTAAGAATTGGAATTTTTAAGTTAAAATCTCCACGTTTTATTATGGAAGGAAAAGTGAAATGCGCATGCATAAAGCATACAAAAACAAACGTTTGTGGCTTTGAGGTCCAAATTTTAGATCATTCCGGATAATGGACATCTGGATTTCGGATTTTGTACTGCATACTATTTCAAACATACAGAGCAATAACTCTATATGAATTACCACTCAATTCTAAAAGGGCCGGAATTACACAGAAATTAAAGGCAAGTTACATGATTTGACAGTTCCTAACAATATTTCAAGATTCTCCCAAACTGAAAAATTCCTAATGTCACAAATGACATATACAAAAAATATATAATCACAGGAAAAAAAAAAAAAAAAACAGAATGTTATAGCCCCTTTTTCTTAAAAGTATGTCAATACCAGTAAAATTTATAAAAAATATAGAGAAACAGATATCTTCTAGAACTTATGTGCATTTTAACCTAACATTATACTTTGAAAAGCCAAACATCAAAAATGCACAGAAAGCTATAAAATGCATATTAACTATCTATTTTGAAATTTCTTGTTTAAAAGAAAAATACAGAAACTGTATTTGAAAAAAGATTAAGAACACTGCATAAAATCAAGACTAGAATCTTGCAATTATAACAGGTTACGAAAAGTGGTACTCTCTTTGTACATCAACAATTCAGCAAATAAGTTAATTATGCTCTGAGATGAAACCAGCCATCTGAATTGCAAATTTATCAGCACTGCTTCTTGACTTTTACTACTAGCTTTTACTAGAAAGTAGTTTCAAAACATTCCAAGCATGCAAAAAAGCACTGAATCCTTAAAATTAAGCAATGAGACTTAATTTAAGCAATGGCTTTTTTACACACTACTGTAATCCTCTCGATCATCCAAAATTTCATCATTTAGTGGAATCAGAGACATCACTTCAATAGGTATTGAATGACTTCTGATCAATGTTTCAGAAGTCCTAACTGGAGAAGTCCGAAGAAGAAGAAAGTGATGCTGGATTGCTGCTGCTGTCACTGCTTCCAACAGTGATTCTTTTATCAGAAAGCACAGGGGGAGCACTGTCCACTTCCTGTTGGGGAGATGATTCTGATATACACTTTGGAGTTGTATTCACTGGTGTTAAAAGTGGAGAAGTAATTTCTTGAGAATTACAGAGTATTGGCACATGTTGCATATCCTTTGGTGGAGGAGTCATTGCAGGAATCAAGTTCTATGGTGAGAAGCAAAAACATTTTATGAGAATAACAATTTTAAATATGATAAATTGATAAATAAATTACTGCAATCTATAGGAATTCACATTAAACTTGTTTATAAGAAAAGAACTTTCAGGGACAGGTAATATTTTTAAACATTAATCAATACAAATTTACTTAGATATACATTAAAAAAAAGTCATTTTTTTGTTTAATTAATAATGATATTACATGTGCTGTCAAATGGTATTAAGTGCCAGTATTGAAATATTTGAAATTGATAGTTTATTTAATTATGGCAAAGCATATGAGAGCTATATGCCTAAGTGAAGGTATGCTTTCATGGAGGACTTTCCAAGGGAAACTGTCTCATACACATGTTACACACGGGTAAAACCATGAAAATGTCCATGCAGACATTCTGACTCCAGGGATTCATACCCCAGACCCAACTACTAGCATTCAGTGAATTTAACGCTCGGCCACTGGTGGAAAATTTGAAATTGAAGTACAGTGTTGAAATTATATTATTAATACAGTCAAAAGTCGTTAATTCGGACACCCATAATCCGGAATGATCTATAATCCGGACCTCAAGCTAAAAACTTTCTGCGCATGTGCCGCATTGACATATGCGCATAGGCGTTTACGCGTGCACGTAAAACCTTTTACGTCTGCGCATATGCATGTGCGCAAGCGCAGAATACGTTTTCGCGTGCACGTTTTATGTATAACGGACGGTCTAAGCTAAAATTATCTAATTGTCTTTTTCAGTTAATGTTGATGATTGCGTTGTTTCTTAATTTTCGAATTGGATCCGGCTTATTATTTTTTGCAGACTGTAAGAGCAATACTATAAAAGTAAACTTGAACTTTCGATTATGTCAAATAGAATTTCCATTTCTGGAGCTCCCAAAGGATCGTACAAAACGAAAGTATGTTTCGATGTCCATCAAACAAAAAGTGGAATTGCTGCAAAAAATGGATAAAGACATGAAGAATGTGACAGAGAGGTTAGTGAAAACGAAAAAATTTCGATTGACAAGTTAGTCGGTATTCTCGGCACAGCAATTAACGGGACTTGAACAGCAGAACTTTGTAACTGAACAAGAAATTATGTCTGTTTATAGAATTAAAGAGAAAGTATTATCACATAAAATGAAGCAACTTAAACAACTTACATTGAAAGAAATGTTTAATAAAAAAACAAATAAATATTAAGCTTTTTTTTTTTTTTTTTTTTTTTGTAAATTTTGATGCATGTTCTTTATTTCATAAATTACGGTTTCATATTTTTAATTTTAGAATTTCTGCATGTCATCTTACAAGATTTAAACTGATGATCTATAATCCAGAAAAATCGATAATCCGGAATCACCGAAGTCCCGACGAGTCCGGATTAACGACTTTTGACTGTAAATAGTTACAGTTGGAGCATTTGCACCTTGTAGAGTCATTATTAAAGTCAAGGTGAATACCCGACGAATCAGTAAGAAGACATGAATTCCACCAAATTTTTGTAATACATTAAAACAGCAAGGTAAAAAACAAATATACTAAAACAAATAGCGATCCTAATGGGTAAAGTAAAAATTAAGAAAGCATAAGTCCAAGGGTGAAAGTCATGTCTTCTAACTGATTAGTTGGCTACTCACCTTGACTTTAATACTTCAATTAAAATTAGCAGCACTTAGCGCTAATTTCTTGCATTTAGTACAACCATACTTACTTCTTGCCTCGTTGACTACTTCTAGCAGAGTCATTAGATTTAATGTCAGAGCTGTGAAAAATATGCAGTACCCTCACTAGGATTTGAATGCTGGATCTCTTAACTGCCAGCTGGATGTTACACCATGAAGGCATGCAGAAATGAGAAGGAAAATATATTATAACTTATTACAGAAACATTTTGATGTTATGAAAGATGTATGTATTGCGGCCCACTGTATATATTATGAAACATGCATGTATTATGGCCAATGATAAATTATTATGAACTATGTATGTATTATGCAACAGGCTTAATATATTATGAACTATATAAGCATATATATGTATGAACTATGTAATCATGTATTATGAAAGATCTATGTATTATGAACTACTTGTGAACTATGTAACTATGTAAGCATGTATACAGGATCAATGTATGCCCTTATAGGGCCCATGTTGCCCCGAATAGTTGCGGAACCTGGACTAGACCCGAATAGTCTAAGTAAGCCACATGGGTGTCCAGATTCTGCTCTCAACTTTCAACTGTAATAATATATCTCCTTCCAGCTCCATCCCAACTTTCAATTAACAAAACCCATGTGGATCAAATGATTGATTGTGGTCACTTATTCTTCTGCACAACTAATCCTTGAAAGGACATTTTGGCTGACAGATTTTTAAGCACCATAAATGCCAGTCAGTTTGTATGGTGAATAGTAAGCACAGATCTCCCAATTGATAGATGTGGGTATTATGATGACGGACTTTTGTTTTTAAATAAATTCTCGTTTACTTCAGATTCTCTAAAACAAAGGCCCATATTACAAGCAGAAAAGTAAAATATGTTGATAAAAAATGTGACCCAAAAAGTACTTACAAGCTTAAAAAAATACACACGAAAATACTGCAAGATACTAACATAAAAAGATTATCTAAATTATCCTATAGTTTGCACAGAAATGGTTCTATCAGTAAAATAAGCTACATCAAAATACTCTCTTAAAATAATGTGCTCAGGTCTTTTAAATTGTAAAACAGGGACAGAACATAATATGTCAAACAGCATATTATGTTCTGTCCTTGTTTTACAGCAAATTACCAAAACACAAAGAACCAATATGTTGAAATCTAAATAAATATTCATTGATCGTCATATGATCAAATATCATTTTGATTATTCCATATGAATGACGATTTTCTATTCATCTATCCTTGCACTGTCAGAGAAAGAGCTTTTCATAAATTTAGTCTGAGGGGTTAACTTGTGAAAATTACCCTGACTTTACAGTAGTATCATAAGTACATGGCTTAGTAGTATTCTTTCAAATGCTATTAGTCTCTTTTTAAGGATCTTGGTGGCATTTAAAAAAAAAAAAAAAAAACTGTCTTCTGTTACCAAAAGACTATACAGAAATTGCCAAAGAATTGCAAATCACATATATGATTACATTACACTGATTCTGTGCAAATCCCTACCTGCTAACTTTCTATGTGCTCCACTATTTTAACAGCAAACAGATTCCCCTATGCAAATACTGCAACAAGCCACATAGATGTACAATTACATGTTATAAATTATATCAGTATAATTTAAAATTAATATTTTCAAGCTAATTTAATTAGATTACTTTAAAAATGGTCAAAATAAAACAATAACATTCCTTTATTTTCATCCACAGATGCATGTAATATTTTTAAAATGAAGTAATTTTAAACAGAATACAATTAAAGAAGTATATCTTTCGAAAATACAAGTCAGCTTTGAAAGTGATCATAAATTTGTCAGTTAAATTTCAAAATTTTTAAATATTTAGTATATCAATTTTAATTGATATTTTATAATTAAATTAACAATTTAACTAAAAATAAATAAATTTTTAAATTTTACGTAGCAGGTAAAATTATCAGCAAAAGGTGGTTAAATATTTTTAGAATGATTGAGGGGATGTTTAAATAATGTTTAAACGAGAAAACATATTTTTTTTTTTAACATCTGATCTGATAGCCCATTTTCTGGACCATAAGTATGCATCATGATTTCCATACTAAAAAGGCTTTTTATAAATTCTTGGGGATACCGATTTCTAATCCTTTTCCACTACTTTACGCAGTTATGGGGACAGAGAGGAATATGATAAAAAGCTATATATGCAATACCTGTATCAGCCTTCATTTTTTTCAAGGAATGCAGTGGTACTTTTCGAAGTATGACTTCTTACTTTGTCATGATGCAGTTTCACAACATGAAAGTCATTGTAATAAAAAAATTGATTTCTTTTCTACATATCCAACGTAGAACGTTTTCTTGTCAGTAAGTTCAGCTGACTTTAACATTTCCCCCCCCTACTCTTCTTATTTTTTATTTTCCACTGTAAGAAAATCCTGTGACAATCATAAAACTCTCACTGAAACTTTCTTTGCATTCATGGAACAAGGTTTGTACATTTTTTCTCTTCCGTTTGTGATAAAAATAGATATTTCTAGTTGCAGTCATTTAGATGAACACACTCTTCATCAAGAATCACAATATTATTTCCTGCTAAATAGTGTTACAGGATATTTATCTCATGTTAAATAGTTTTCATGCAGGGTTCTACAAACTATTCTACACTGAGCCACATACCTCGGCAAAAGCTGGCGAACATAACGTTATTTAGCTTTTTTAAGTTGTAAATCTTGGTTTATTATTTTATTTATTGTTGCTACAGATGTATTTAAAGCCTTTGCAATAGACCTTTGAGTCGGCGGATTTTCACTTGTTACCATTGCTTTAACTTTAGAAACATTAGAAATAGTCCGTACCTTTTTCGGGTATTCATTTGGAGTCTTCTTTCCATGTAGAAGTAATGATTGACGGTTTTTCCCCTTGCGATTAATAATGTTGCTTATTTTACTCTTAGAAATTTTAATACCATGCGTTTTACAACGTTTCTGAATTACATAATAGGAATATTTCTCTTCGGAGAGCGCAAAAACATATCCTTCAATCCATAACTTGTTTACATCAGACATTTTGAAACAAAACAGACAAAAAAAAGTAAACAGGTGCGTTGTTGTGCACCCAGTAAGTCCTTTTATCCCAATGTCAAAAAATCAAGCTTCCTTTTTGGGGAAAGGTGTTTCCAAGGAGGTTAGAATAGAAGGAGGGAAGGTTCAACTCAAACGGTGAAGCTTGGCGGCCATGTTACTGTTATCGCTGTGACTTGTGCAAGGAAGTCTATAATTGTAACATTTTTTTTTCCTTTTCTTTTTGAAGCATGTCAGCTTATATTGCACATGGATGCACAAATAAATTTTCGAAAAATATTCCTGTGATTACTGTTCACTCGTAAGTATTGATTTTCTTTTTTTTTTTTTATGTAATTTCATAAATATGTTAAAAAATATCACGTCATGTTGTTTTCTTTCCAGATGTGACAAAAAAGACTTTAATAATCGAAACATGTTAAATACATTTTAATGTTTTTGCTTACAGCTGGTATCTTCGTTCCTTAACACACAATGATATATGCTAGGATTTAAACTGTATAATTTGAACGCTTAGATAATTCGTTTTATAATTTTCATGAAAAGTAAGAAATCAATTGTTACTATTTTTATGAATTGTAAAGGTGTTAAATAAAGCAACGCTTTTCTTTATGTATTAATTATTATTCATTCTTAAGTTTTGTGAACTGTTACGAATATAATTTGTGCATTTGATCAAGATAAACTGTTCTGTTGTTAAAATGTTTTTGCATAAAGCTTACAAATTTCTGGGCAAGTATAGCGATAAAACTTAAGTAAAATATTTACACAATTGAACATGTGACGGAAAGATGTATCCAAAAATTTTATATAGGTATATGTCTGTAATTCATGCTTAATTCAAGGTAATTTCTTTAAGATTCATAAACTATGAAACGCGCATAAACTGAAATCATTGAATTCACATAAATCTGTTTTATTTTATTAATATTTATTTTCTTGTTGATATAAGGTTGTTGGTTGTGAAAAGAACCTATTTAAAACTTTCATTTAAAAAAAAAAGCAACATGTTACCACTTTTTTAGATAATTATCTGCTATTAATTTCAGGTAAAAATGATTCTTTAATAAATTATATCGAGAAGTTGCTAATAAAACCTAAACGAATTCTTGAAATTATGCAGAAACATAATTTTTAAACGCTTTAATGTTATGCACATGCATTAGATTTCGAAATATTTCTTAATGATTTTCTGTACTTAGTAAATTACAGATATCATCTTTATAACTTTAAAACAAAAAACTAACAATAGCGAAGCATTTCATTATAAATTTAACATATTTTTACTGGAAAATTCATGCATAGAACAGCTTAAACACGTACGTTTCTCTACCGTATTGCATGTTTTGAAGTAACAAAAATGGACGCCGTTTGTTCCGTGGAGTTTCATTCCCCAATAGTGGAGGAAACTGCGAACCCTCCCTCCTTCTATTCTAACCTCCTTGGGTGTTTCATACACCTGGGCTCACGCTTTGCTCCAAATTGATCATAGTTGTAAGTTTCGAAATATATTAGAACGTTACTTATTTGAGATGTAGTAATTTTTAGTCCGCAAGAGCAATTTGCCCTGAAGAACTATTATTATATTATTATTATTATTATTATTATTATTATTATTTTGCATTTTGCGTTGGTTCACTGTTTTAAGAACAACAACATCTGCGTGTGCTATGGAGTCGAGAGCAGATATTCCGCTGAAATTAATTGATTTTTCGAATTTAGAAATTTATGGCTATTGCGAGAAATTAAAAAATACGCTTGGAAATGATTTCTTTTTCCTTGATGTCAACAAGAAGGGTCTTTTGTTATTCAAGGAAAAACATGTGAACAATATTTGGTTCAAAGTAATGCCGGATAGCACGGTACTTACAACAAGCTATGGTTGAATAAAAAGATGTTCCTACATCTTTGACACTCGAGAATAATATACGATCTGTGTTAAGACCGAAATGAAGAAATCAATTAATTATGAAACATCAGTACAAATTTCTGCAGAAAACCAGGTAAGATTTATAAATTTTTCTTATGCATGATGCTCACCAGCATTAATAATGTTTTCATTAAAAATATTAAATGTATATCAGTTAATTGAAATCTATTCTCGAGACCTTGAAAAACGTTTCCCAAACTTTTAAATGTATATGTTATAATAGTACTAGAACGCCCGGCGGTCATACGAAATGACCTCTGTTCTAGATATTATAAATTATAATTAAAATGATTTGTGCAAAGGCGACTGCTAATTTAAACTGAACCCAGAGCAGGCGGCAAGGACGCCCATTTACTTATTGCCCCACGAGATTTCTCCCTTCTACTTGCTTAATTGCTTAAAGAGTACAATGAAGGAAACCACTGGCGGTACATTCCTTAAGAGGCCACCGTTAGCTCAATCAATAAAGGTGATTTAAATAATGAAATGTTAATTCACATGTCAAAGATCTCTTTGTACACACCATTTCTTGTGTAAATCTTTCCATCATTTTTAAGCTCGCCTTGCAGAGGACGATCCAATATTTTTAATTTTACGTCCGTTCTTTCAAGAACTTTTGAACAGGCAACATAAAGTTGACCGTGTCCAAATGCAGGCTCAGGTAACAAAATGCCAACACGCTTAAGCCTTTGGCCATGAGACTTATTGATAGTCATACCAAAGGCAAGTTTTACAGGAAATTGTCTACGTCTCAATTGAAACGGCAACCCTGTGCCGTGGCAACTTCAACCCATTGGCTAGTACAGTTGCGCAAGCAACCAAAAACCTATCGGCGACAAACAGACACTTAAGCCGCATATATATACTGGTGTGCAAAAATTAAGGACGAGACGGTTTTTTCAATATAACTTTGTACAAAAGCTTTCCAAATCAACACATTTAATACCGTAAGATCCCCAATACGTAAGGACATGAGTAATGTAAGCAACACTTACTAAAAGAGAAATCAGAGGGATAAAAAGAAGCTTTATTGAAAAAGTAGCATGGAGCGCAATACGAATGAAGGCCGAAACATCCCTGTGATGGGTGTCCAGCAAGAAACATCCGGTCTTTAATAGGGGATATGATCTTCCCTGACTGCTAGGCAGGTTTCACAGCGTCTGCCCATGCTGAGAATGACGGTTTCAATGAGTTGTTGAGGCTTTGCTGCCCATTCGTCTTGCAGCGCCAATCGAAGCTCCGGAATCGTTACTGGTGGTAAGGTACGAGCTGCCAAGCGTCTGCCTAGAAAATCCCATACATGCTCGATGGATTTGAGATCCGGAGATCGTGACGGCCAATCCATACGTTCAATATCCTCACTCTCTAAGAGCTGTTCGGCAGCTACTGTGCGATGACATGGTGCATTGTCGTCCATGAAAAGGAACTGCGGACCCGTAGCGCCTCTAAAAAGACGCACATATGGAAGAAGAATCTCGTTACAATAACGGGTCCCGTTGACTGAACCTGCGTCGAAGATGTGAAGGTCTGTACGACTACCAAGCATGATGCCTCCCCAAACGATAACACCGCCACCTCCATACCTGTCCCTTTCAATGATGTTCGGGGATGTTGCGGCTTTCCCGCTCTCTCCAGATGAGTATGCGATGAGAATCGCTACTCAGACTGAATCTGCTCTCATCTGTAAAGAGTACTCGTCCCCATTCATTGTCTCTCCAATTCCGGTGTTCCTGGCACCACAGAGAACGCCGTCTCCGATGGGCAGGCGTTAGAGGTACACATCGTACAGGGCGTCGTGCAAACAGACCACCACCGTGCAGTCTTCTGGCCACGGTAAAACGCGATATCGGTCTTCCAGTCGCCTATGTCGTGTGTCTAGCGATTTCTCCCGCTGTCTGCCGCCTGTTTTTTCTGGCCTGTAAGGCAATATACCGGTCATCTGCGGGTGTGGTTCCTCGTGGACGACCACTACTAAACCCCCGGATAGCTGTTCCTGTAGTTTGAAATTGTCTCCAAAGTCGTGAAACGATGCTGCGAGCAATTCCGAACTCTGCAGCCACACTTGTCACACTGCGGCCTTTTTCCAACTTCCCAATGATTCGACCTCGGGTAAAAGCATCCAGATGTCATCTAACAGATTGATTATTCGCCATTTCTCGCTGGGGCAGCAACTCGGTGTGATTTTAACTGCTATACGGCGTGCAATCTCTTTGCCAGAAATACTGATCTTACACCGACAACCTGCTTTATACTACACAGACACTCCCCCATTACGTCTACCTGCATATCTGCGCATGTGCTACCGTACACCACCTTACTTAATCTCCTGATTGGTCTTTCTGTCCGCTCTGCCTCTTCGTTCAGCTGATATGCTAATTTTTCGACTTCGCCCTTAATTTTTTCACACCAGTGTATATATGGGGTGAAATAACATCATCTCCTCCGAAACGGCTGGCTCTCGGGCTTGGCGTAGCACACCGCTGGATTCCGTGGAGTGCCATTTTGACCATGCGCGTCTTCTTGGGACTTATTAGGCGAGATATTAATTAAAAACTAATTTTCTCCTACGTTTTCGCTACATTTTCCACTTTCTTTTTTGGGTTTTCCTTATTAGAGGGATTTGGCTACGAGCCAAATTCTATTTTTTTTCCGAATATCTACGGAACGGCGCCGAATTGAAATTCGAGACGCGCATCCTCGGATTCCAAAAAATTCTCCGAATCCATCGATACCGTTCTCATCTTCGTACGACTTTAATCGGTTGAGATATTAATTAAAATCTGCGGAAACGTTAATCTCGGCGCTCATTTTTCCGAGTGGCAACAATAAACTATCGGCGCACACACTTTAGCCGCTTATATATATAAACAAGATATTCGTAGTTCATGAACAGAGTTTCTAAATTACTGAAATAACCGAATTCGTGAAAGATCTGTTTATCTGCAAGAACATAAATACAAAGCCAATGTTCTCTTGTTGGTATTAATTAATGTCATAAAATATTTCCTTAATTCTAAAATTTTATTAATTTCATCGGGATATGTTTTAATATTTTAGTTGTTGTAATCGATTTTTAATGAATACACATAAATATCGGAATGTTAATTTTTTAATACCTTCCATTGTAGATATTAAGGATATCAACAGCTGTAATATTAGAAGCATCAGTAATACGGAAACATTTTAATATAAAAGGATGCTTTATATTATAAGAATT